CATTGAAGATGATCTCAGCATTAAAATATTGTCTGTTTGAAGAAAGTTGAAATAAAAAATACTTACTATATAAACAACTTGTATTTTTAAATCTTATTCACTTAAAATATTTTTTTAAATCACATTAACGTAAAAATATATTTTTAATATGCCAAAAAATATTTTAAAATTACATTCACTTGAAAATATTTTTAAATATGGCAAAAAAATTTTTCAAATATTTAGAATACTGTTTGTTTAAAGAAAGCTGAAATATAAATAAGTTTACACAAAATCTCAGAGGTGGAAAGAGAGAAAGGGATGTAAAGCAGCCTAAATGTAAACATTTATGTCCACAATCCAGATGTTAAATTAGGTCACCATCTGAGACAAACACACATCATTTCCTTCTCTCCCCACGTCCTACATAATAATAAATTTACATCTTTCTTTCACCCACTCTCTATATATGGCCTCTGTCAAACAGACAAGCAAGCAAGTTCACAGAGTTTTATAATAATAAAGGTACAAACTGTCTTAAGTGAATCAATAAAATTTGTTGAATCTTTTACATATATAGGAAGCTAAATAAATTCAACTGAGATGTATGTAAAAATTTGCATAGCTAGACCCCTCTGAATAAAATGGATGTAATCTAGAAATCTGATCTACCAGACAACCTCAAGCAGAGATTCTTTTGAGCCACTGTAGAGGGGATTTTAATGCTTGTTGCCACTGCTCGGACCTTAACTAAAACACTAAAATATAAGCTTAATCAGATGCTCTCTGATACTTAACATCTCTTGGAGACAACATCCAAATAAATCACAGCTCTATGGACCGATTCTTGTTACCTCTACAAACTTACATGAATACAGAATGCACTTTACAGGACAAAGCTGGCAAGTAAAACAAGAACTCATAAGTGATGTACTGCTCTGGACACTTAGACATGGAGCAAGACAGGTTTCATCCACCAGCAATCACATACATTAACTAGCTATGTTATGATACAAAATACCACCATAATGAGCTTCCAATCTTGTGCAAGACAGTGTTGGCTGCTTTGATGAACTCATAAATGTCTAACCTAGCTCAACCAAATAAATAAATAAATATGGTAATGCCACTAAGTAATTACTGGCACCGAAAGAGAATGAGAAGGCTTTTTGGGATCTGTCTACCCAGGCATTTGTTTTTATCTGAGTATTCAACCATTTAACAACTACAATACATCTTTTAAATGAAACATAAAATGTTTATTCTTTGAAGGAAAAGTAGAAGCAGAACATCAGTTGAAATAACATTTATATATTCTTTTCAGAAATATACAATAGCAATAAAATGTTCAATTTTCCTTGCAGTGAAATTTGTTTTTTCAAGTAATTAAGTGTTCATAGTGTGATGTGAAATGTGAGGACAAAATTACTGTATGACAGTCAGCCTAATTTGTCCATGTGTAGACATAGCCTTAATTGGCAGCTGCTCTTCCATTGTGTGCATGTGTGTGCACGCAGTGTAGATCAAACTGGCCTCCAAAATTGTTTTGAGCCTTGAGAAGCAGTATGACCTGTAACAAGCATGCGTGGAAGCGTCCCCGAACTGCATGTGTGTTGTCGCCAGGCACACCTTGGAGTACCATAATGGACTCGACCGAGGACTACAAGAAGATGACGCGCGAGTCGTTTGGGGTCTTTTCTTGGGCGACAAAAGCCATTGCGGTCGGTCGTTGGCAGCAGTCTTGGGTGCCGTTTTGCTCGTTTGTTGCTGTAAAGTGTTCGTTCAGAAGAGGAGGCATTCATTTTAGGTTCGCAAGAAGGTGTTTGTTTTTGTGTCACAAGAAGTTTTTTTTTTCCCATTTTCTCGCACATGACCTTTTTGAATACAGAGATTTTCAATAGTTTGAAAATAGTTTCATACTGGCTTGCAAAAACCTTTTTCTTAAATTTGAGGGAGGGGATAAAGGAATTTATTATTGTTATTTTCTACATGGTCCAAAAATAACAGTATTTTGGCAGTATTTATAAATATTATTTATCAAACAAATCTTCTGATGGGATTTTATTGGGTAAAAAAATATATATAGGATTTAATTCCTATAGACTTTAGAGATGAGAAAGGACAATAGAAGAACAGGATTCAGGAAGATAAAAGATGGCAGTTGATGTTGCATTTAATTATATTTCCAAATACTTAAATTCTTCTGAACTTTAAATTGATAATTTAACAGTATTATTCATTTTTAATGAGGCATTGTCTGGCTTGTAAAATATTTTTATATAACAAAATCAGAAGACTATTTCTGATACATCTTTCATGTATAGTGAGACTAGAATCTTATTTTATGGAAAAACAAAATATCTCTATGCTTTTATAAAATGTTTCACTGAACTGGGAATCAAAATGTGCACAAATACAGTTACCATTATTTGACTGAAAATTAAATTATTACAATTATTATTGCCATGTTTGTTCACGGAATCCTCACAAGAGTTTATTTTATAAGAATGAAATGAGGAAATATCTTAATTAAAAGAAAACAAAACATGGTACACATTTTCTTCTTTGGTAATCAGCTATTTTTTGATATTTTGGGTATTTTCATCTCGGATAAAAGAAGTGATTTCATGCCCTTGGGACAGTTGGACCTTACCAGAAAAGATGGACCCTGTGCATTGAATGAAGGCCAACTCGAGACTTGGACAATATTGATTCAATAAATAAGGCCTTTATTTGAGTCTTTTCTTTATATCAGAACAACCTGAAATATAAAAAGGATTTATTGGGAGAAAAGAGTAGAGAAAATGTCAAATCTCTTATCCCAAATAGTTTCAGTGGTGCAAGCAACAAAATATAAAACTCTCACTCTGGTATGAAAGTCGTTTACAATTTTCTTATAGTCAAACAGTTCAAATAAATCATTTTCTTAGCAACAAAAGAAATGTTCTTATTTCAAAAAATTTACAATTCAAAATGATGCTGATTCCAAGGTTGGCAGTTGCAGTTCAAATTTGGGTGAGTAAACCTGTATGAATCTGCTTTTCTGGAGTGTTTTTGAGGAATATACAAATTTTTGGAACAGGTAACTTCAAGTTTGAAAGAAACACTCATGGGTCTATGGCATTCCTATTATGAGAATTTAGAAGATTATTCTTCTATTTTCTTTATCAACAGTAACAATTGAAATAGTCTTTTATCATGCTAATTTCCCACATGCTCTATTTCTCTATTCAACAGCAGACTTATCACTTTCTCTGTAGCCTGAGTCAGTTCACCTCTTTCTGGTCAATTCTTTTCTGCTATTGCAGTCAAAATTTTCCTCTTATATAGCAAGCACATAGATCAAGACACACTCATAAACAAATTCATTAGAGGTACAATACTTTTTATCCCCATTGGTTAAAAAATTAAGTCTCCATTGAAATAAACTGTGCCTGTTTTCAAATTTGATTAGTTTTGAAAACATCAAAGCCAGACCCATTCTGTAAAATTTTGCAGTGAAAAGTTTAAATTTGGAGTTAATTAAATTAAAAAAAACACACACATATTTTACATAGATAAAGCCCTTTGTAAGGTGTGGACTGTACTTGTGAGAACAATTTTTATATTTCTTTAAGGTATGGGCTTCCAGGAATCCCTCCAATTAGTCTACTGAAATCTTTTCCAACCAATCCAAGGGCCCCAACTACAACAGGAATTGTTGATGTTCCTATGTGCCACATTTTTGAGATTTCGAGTTCAAGGTCCTTGTTTTTTTGAACATCTTCAAAAATACATTGCAGTCTGCAGGGACTTGCCATATCACTAAGGAGGCACTTTTTTGTTTTTCTATTATTATTATTATTATTATTATTATTATTATTATTATTATTTCTGTTGTATATACATTTCCTCTTGGGTCCCAGCCAGAGACCTAAGGTCAGAAATCTCTTCATGAAATATTTCACTGATCATCTTTTCTAAAAATAACAAAAACAAACCAAAGATCACATACATTTTACATAGATAAAGCTCTTTGTAATGTGTGAACTGTATTTGTGAGTACAATTTTTGTATTTCTTTGAAGCATGGGCTACCAGGAATCCCTTCAATGAGTCTATCAGAACCTTTTCCAATCAATCTGAGGGCTCCAACTACATTATTGATGTGCTCATGTGCCACAATTTTGAGATTTCCTCTCCTTATACTTTGATCGTCTTCCTATGGTTTGCCATATGATGAGAATCTGTGAATTTATAGGGTCCCTATCATAAAACTACCTGTGACTCTGCAATGACTTCACAATCATTCTCTAAAAGAGGTGTAGCAACTTAGATTATCCCTAACCAGAATATATCCAGGTATAGTTTAGCCTAATCCAGAATAAACACTAGGGTTATTACATAAGTAATGACAAGAAAGAAATTATTTATTTTACATAATAGATATCTATTTTTAAATAAAGTCTACTTCCATGTCATTGCACTTAATTCACTGGTGAATATTAAGCACAATAGACATTTTATAATGAAGATTCCAGCTTAAAATTCAGATAAGGACTACATGCCTGGCTATGAACTTATTGAGTCATCTTCATTTCTAAATATTAATTGAAAGAAATTTCTATGAAAATTTTAAAAGCACATCCCCATTGCATGAATTTAAGCATACTATTAAGTTGACATCTCAGTTCCCTCTTTTCACTGTCATAGCAGTTAAATGTAACTTCCTCTTCTACCGCAACAGATTCTTCTCTCACACTTCCCCACAGTGGAACTTCCTTCCTCTTACTTGCTTCTCTGATAACTATAATCTTCAAAAATTTAAATGTAATGTCAATCGACATCTTCTGATGCCTTGATCTTGATTTCCGTCCTTCTGTTTATCCTTTCCTTAAACATCTCTCTTTACTCTTATTTTCACTTTCTGTAACCCCTTGCATGCTAGTGGCACTTCCACCATGCTTGGGGTAAAATGCTTAAAAGAAATTAATTTTAATTGAAATTCTTAAATGTAACAAATTTTCTTCCTTTTGTCAACAGAACTTCAAAATGAAAGTGAAATCGACAGAAAAAGTACTTGCACCTGGACTGTCGACACAACTAACTTTCGTATATGCGAAAGAAAAAGTCGATTCCTATGAAGAAGATAAATTCTTAGTATCTTGTGAAAGCGGTTCTATTGAAGTGCGGCTGATTGCGTAAGTATTCTAGACAATGCCCAACAACCAACAATATTTACAATATTTCCTTTACTTCTCATGGAAGTCTACAGATTTTTTTATATTCCAATGTATCAATTATATTTTTGTTGATATGGTTATGAATTATGTAGGTAGAATATGATGGATTTAAAGCAATGGTAATGTTAATAGCAGTATTAGTCATTTCCTTATTAGGAAACATTTGGCATTCATTGACTTTGTGACCAATGCTACTTTCAGTTATAATTTATAAAATTTCTATTAAAACAGATTTTCAGGAAAATAGGTGTCCATAACTGTTATTGCTCTTTCCAGTGCTGAAGGGGGATTCCTTCCTAATCTTTTCTTTGAATTAATGTCAGATGTCAAAATCTTGATTATGTTATCAAAATTATCCATTCTAGTTGTTGCTACTGCTGTTGAAATTCCTCAAGTGTTTCTATTATTTGGAACAGTTCTTTGTGATCCTATAGCACCAGCCCATGAATGTGAAGAAATATGGTTTTCTTTAAGGCCTTCAGTTTTCATTCACACAAAGCCATTTTTAACCATTGATCTGAGGAAGCAAATCTATACAGCTGACTACTTAGATATTTCTGAACAAGTTTGATGCCATGTATGGCATCCATATGAAAGACAAGGTTATTTTTTTATCATTTCATCCCAAGCAAGGCAATAAAGCCACTAGAATTCACGAGGTTACTGGGTGTTATAGAATATAAGAAAAACTACTATTAAGGAGAGAGGACAATGAATCAGAATTAAAAAGAAAGAAGATAACAATTGGCATTGAAAAAGATAACGATTGACATTGCATCTAAATTTTTGAAGATCAAAATTGACTGGAAAGCAAGAAACCAAAAGAGAGTTCTCCAAGTGAGAAGTACAATGGAAAAAACTGTTATCATAGAACTTACAGTTATATCTAACCATTTCTACTGTAAATTGATGAGATCTTGCTGCCAGTCCAATATGGCACTTAAATTCATAAAGTCTAGGTACCATAGAGGAAAGTTAATCAGAACAATTACCATGAACGTATTTAGAGATCATGACTTGGGTTTTAAGTTAATGTTTTGTAGCAATTTGTGGTGTTGGGCAAAACTACTACTAGTGTAGCCTATTATGTGTTCACTTACCTTATCTGCACTCAATAATAACTCCAAACTATCAGCTAAGCTCTAGCAATACAAGAAACCTGAAAATAGATTTTTCAAATTCAGTAGCTGGTATGGCTCTTTCCAGTATTGATGGAGGTTTCCTTCCTAACCTTTTTAATGAAGTAGTGTAGTATGTCATTATCATATGACATTATTTTCTTCAAGTTACCTATGATATCCAATTTTGCTGTTGCTGTTGTTGAAAGTTCTCAAGTGATCTGGTTTCTGTCATTTGGTACAGTTCTTGTTTGAACTTCTGTTGCACCAGATCACAAGGTTTGGAGAAGTTTACCCTTAACAAGATCCATACGCTTCACTCGTTCAAAACCATTTTTAAGTATTGATCTTAAAATGCAGTTTTATACAACAGAAACTTTAGATCTTTCTGAATGCATTTGACACCATGCATGACTTGAGGTTTTAGGTTAATGTTTTGGTTTTACAACCTATTCTATATTCAATTTCCTTTTCTCCTATACTAAATTTGTTAAAACTGATTCATATACTGACATATTCGAAATGTTTAGTATTTACTAATTCCATATCCTCTTGATTATATCATTATTTTCTCTTTGAGTTACATGTGATGTCCATTTTAGTTGTTGTTTTCAATTTATGTCAATTCTTGTATCTGGTACAATTCTTTGTGATTCTGTAATGCCAGTCTACAAGGTTTGTGGAAACATGGTCCTTGCTAAGACCAACAGGTTTCATTCACCCAAAGCCATTTTTAAGCATTGATCTGAGAAAAAAGTTGTATATATCTGACAGTTTAGATATTTCTGAATTAGTTTGGCACCATGCATAACATCCACATGAAACATGTGATCTAAAAAGGCTATTTAAAAACATGACTTGAATTTTTAGTTTAATGTTTTGTAGCAACTTGTGGTGTTGGGTAAAACTACTCCTAGTGTAGCCTATTCTGTGTTCATTTACCTTTATTTATCATTTCACCCCAAGCAAAGCAATAAAGCCACTAGGATTCAAGAGGTTACTGAGTGTTATAGAATATGAGAAAAAGCTACTACTAAGGAGAGAGGACAATAAAAGAATGAGAATTAAGAAGTCAGAAGATAACGATTGACATTGCATCTAAATTTTTGAAGATCAAAATTGACTGGGAAGCAAGAAACCGAAAGAATTACCCAAGCGAGAAGTACAATGGAAGAAACTGTTAGAATAGAACTTATGGTTATATCTAACCATTTCTACTGTAAATTGATGAAACCTTGCTGCTAACCTAGTACTGCACTTAAATTCATAAAGTCTAGGTACCATAGAGGAAAGTTAATTAGAACAATTACCAGGAATGTATTTAAAACTGTTAATGTTCTGGTTTTGTAGCAATTTATGGTGTGAGTCAAAACTACTACTAGTGTAGCCTAGTATGTGTTCACTTACCTTATCTTCACTCAATAATATTTCCAAACTATCAGCTAAGCTTTAACACCACAAGAAACCATGAAAACAACTGATAAACTAAAATGTTTCAGACCTGAAGAAATCATTTCAAGAGATCTGGAAGCATGTAAGTCCAGCTCTGCATACTAAACTCTGGGAACAGATTAAACAACATCAAACACACAGAAATCATTAGACTATGCAAAAACAAGGGAGAAAATTCAGACAGCTCAAAATAAACTGTTTTCTAAAATCAAAAATTAAGGTTGCTTCAAGCAAAGGAAGTCTGTCAGTTTTAGTGAAGACAATGCTTCTTTGAAGCTTGTGAACTGGTGATACAAAATGACAAAGATCTGCACTGAATAAAAGAAACCACATCAGATGAGAACTTTCAACAACACCATCAACTAAAATGGATATCACATATAACTTTAAAAGAAAATAATAACTTAATCAAGATGTTGACATTCCACATTATTTCAAATAAAAGGTTAGGAAAGAAGCCACCATCAATACTAGAAAGAACAATAACAGCTAATGGACTTGAGAAAACCTATTTTTTGAAAAAAAATTGTTTTAATAGAAAGATTTTATAAATAACTTTGATAATGGCCAAACAAATTTAGTATAAGAATATGAACATACAATAGGTAGCTTCTTACAACACTGTAAATTACTACAAAACACTGACCTAAAACTACTCATGTTCTTAAATAGCATTGTTAGACTGAGACTTTCCTATGGATGTCACATGGTGCCAAACTCATCCAGAAATGTCTAAACTGTCAGCTGCATGCAATGGCTTCCTAATGGTTAAAAATGGCTTCTAGCGAATGAACTTTTCTTTTTAATGCTAATGTTCACCCAATACAAGACCCAAGAGCTATTCAAAGCAGACGGTTACTGTTTGGTGTTGTATAATCATAAGAAAAGGCAAGAAGTGAAGTTCATGAGCTTATGTAGGAAAAACAACTGTAAACCCTAGACATGAATAGGTCAGGATTGTAGTGACTGAGAAAACATCATGACAGAAGTCTGTTCCATAAAGCAGTAGTCCTTGGGAAGAAGATGTCCAAGTGGATCTTGCTTCTTATTAATTGAATGTGAAGGAAATGCACAGTGAGGAGGCATGGGTGGAATAATGAATAGTGGCTCAGATTGAGAAATTGGAGAGTCGAGTTCAAATTCTATTTGAATCCATTACATTCACTTACATGCTAATACACTTGGGAAAGATATGAATCCTCTTCTTCTCCCCACAGCTTTGGATAAATATCAGGACAGAATGGGTTCTGTAGCCTTGGATGGCAACTGGTCTACTGCAGAAAGAAATAGAAACTTACTGCAGGGAAAAATCTGCCTGGACAGTCATGTATCAAAAGATACATGATCACCTAAGCATGCATCACGCATGGCACATAACTGACTGACTGAAGGGAATGAGGATGATTCATTCTTGCATATGTGGCACAGAAAGTGTCAGTTGTAAATGTCAGAGCTGCTAGAATCAAGGAATATAGCTTGTCAGAATATATACCTTGGAAATAGTTATAGAGTAACAAGTTTTATCTATTGGAAAGGGGTGCTAGGGTAAAAATTCATCACCCACAAGACTATGAACACAATTAATACAGGCCAGGGAGGACTGGACTGCTCCATCTCAGATATTACAGCAATAATCCATTTTTGGTCATATCTGATTCTTGTAACGATAGTGTATGGCAGGGTTGTCAGATATTTACAGTAGTATTATGTTGGTGCAAAAATAATGACGTAATAATGTTGTTTTTTGACGTTACAAAATACGTCAAAAAACAACATTATTACGTCATTATTTTTGCACCAACCTAATAGTACAATGAACTGACTATTTTACCAGCAACAGACTAGATATATGAGTTCTACTTGAGGTCTTTGGTGATCTTGAGTCCCTATAGATGATCAAGGAAAGTAGCATCCTGGAGAGAATACCCATCTTCCATGATAAGTGTAAGTTCAGTGTCTGCTCAATAATAGTAGAATGTTACTCATTCGGATTTTGACATTGAATTTTAGAAGCCAGTTCTTACCCCATTGAGCCTGGTGGGCTAGGTCAGAGGGGAGATGGGCTGCTAGGATCTAGTCATACATATTTCTAGAGGTGTACATATAAACTGCTGTATCATCTGTATAGATATTCACTAAGAATATGTACTTAGAGAGCACTAAACTTTATTAAATCTCATGGACTGCTGCTATAGAATCACAAACAAAGAACTGTACCAAATAAGAGAAAGTACATCACTTGAAGACTTTCAACAGCAGTAACAGCTAAAATGAATAGCCTATGTAACTTGAAGACAAAATAATGATATAATCAAACTGTTGACTTTCCTCACAACTTCAAATGAAAACTTTCATCTAGAAAGAGTGGTAACAGTGAACTTGGGAAACCTATTTTCCTGAAAAACGTATAATAGAAAGTTTTTATAAATATCAACTAACAGTATCTCTGTTTGGTCAATGTAAAAACCAATAATTTTCTTTTAAGGAAATGACTAATCTCACCATTACCATTCTGTTGCTATAACTGCTAAACATTTCACTGGTTTTTATTTACAGTTTTTCTTTCTTTCCTCTCATAGGTCTCCTCCTAAATGCATTCTCTCAGTATCCAAACAGGTTGATTTTGGTTGTCTGATTGCTGATAATCGAGTCGTGAGCCGAAACATCAAAGTGACAAATGAAGGCGATGATGAAGGAGAATTTGAAGTGGAATACACTGGCACAAACTCATTGACCATTCACCCAAAACAGGGCATCGTTCCTTCACTTTCATCTCAGACAATCAAGGTCAGTTTGCATTCATTCATTCACAGTAACCCAAGCACAGATAGATAGATAGATAGATAGATAGATAACAAAGAGATATTAACAGGTAGATATGAAAATGTATAAGAGGCAGGAGGAAAAGAAGTAGAATGCTCATGTTAAACAGCACACATGTAAACACACCATATATATATATATATATATATATATATATATATATATATATATATATATGTATATGAAATGCATGTATTTCGGCAGCATGTTTTCATTCAGGCAGGTTTCATTAAATAATTTAGACACATTTTCAATAAGATCCTTTCATATTCACAAATGAGCTTTTTTATGCAGTTGTTAAATGACGAGAGGAAAACACTGTGTTGGCTCATATTGTAATTTATTCCAAGTATTTTTCAACACAGCATAGCAGTTGGTTGTATAAAAGTTTCTATAGTATATAATTAGTTTTATTTTTTTACTGTGATCAGTGTGGGATATATTAGTTCTTATGAGATTTTAGTATCTTTGTCATCTTCTTTGTAGTTAGAGAGTATTTAATTGTGGTATCATAGGTTGACATGTTCAGGGTTATTTGAGGAAGTATTATGTTCTTTTTGATTAATATTATATTATTGTTAATATTTCTAATATCTAATCTAATTTGTTCATCAATGATGTAATTAGGAAAGTCGTTAATGAGAGTCTGTTTAAGGTTTTTTAATTCAGTGTAGAAATTTTTTTGTGTGGGAGAGTAAACTTTTGAACGATTTATTAAATTTTGTATAATCGCTTATTTGTAATAGTAATTCACTTTTATAGTTGAGAATGCAGTGAGTATGTTTATGCTAGTTATATTTCTATATGGGGATGTAATAAAAGTATTATTATTGGTGTTTCTTCTAATTCTTTAAAACAATTTTACAAATATAAATTAAGTTACCTCCCTTAATAACATTAATTTATGCATCAACAGAATGTGTTTCATGCACATTTACAAAAAATTCTCAAGTATCTATAACATTATTTTTCGTCTTAGCAATTCACTCATGAAGATGATCTTGGATAAGATTAAAAGTACTAAGGAAAATAAAAGGAATGAGAAAAACTACAGCGCCTTCCTTAATGTATTTAATGGCAACCTTAAGAAATTGATCCATAAATATGAAAGGATTAAGATAAAATAAATAGACATATGTCTAGATGATTCAACCAAACATGTTTAAATGAAGATATGTTGCCTATATATATATATATATATATATATATATATATATATATATATATAGATAGATAGATAGATAGATATAGATATAGATAAATAAATATAAATATAGATAGATAGATGAATGAGAAAATAGTTATAATTACCTTCCAAGACCAACAAAAATTATTGAATAATCGATCAGAACTTATCTCAAAATACAAACACGAAAACAAATTTTTACTACATTAAGGAATTAAAGGAGCATCAAATTTATAAAATTCATTAATTCCTTAGAAATTACTGTTTTATGTTTCAGGTAAATAAAATTAGCACATATGGGCTTTAGTGGAGATATAAATTTTTGAGAAGATCTGAACATGAAGATGTGCATTCTTCAAAAATGGTTACTGAACCTTGCTGGGGTAATATATATGTATTTTCCATCCAATGGCAATTTTATTGAATAAATTTACTGTTTAGTATTTCTAGGTATTTTTGTGTAATTTCAGTAAATATATGTTATTTTCATTTTTGCATAATTTAGATGACAATCTATCCATCACACCTATATATATATAAATATATATATATATATATATATATATATATATATATATATATATATATATATTCTTATTTAAATTTTTCCTTTTTTCTGTTCTTTTTACAATACAGATAAACTTTTGTGCCACTTCACCAGGTAAAATACATGAATTTCTAAGGTAAGAATCTACTGACAATAATTTTCCTTTCTGAAAATAAGTTATCTTTTTCTCAGACATCTTAAATGGCCAGTTATTTTTTAATATTGTTATATCTGAGATTTCTATTTTAAATTCATGAATATATTCAGTCATCTTAATCAGATAAATTTTCTACAAGGTTGATGTAAATGTTTCCAGTAATATCTTTTGCACAATACTAGGAAAATCTTAGAAGTACCTTTAAAATTTGCTGAAGAGATTATTTCTTCTGCAATTAGTCACTTGTATATTATATCCAATTCTTTGGAAAAATTCCAAAGTAAGAAAAACAAGTTTTTTTTTTTACTAACTCATGGAAAAGAAAATTGAATAAACATTAACCTCTTGTCTTTCACTAATTGAAACTGAAAAAGTCATTAGTCAACAAGATAGTTACAAGCAATTAAAAAATGGATTTGGATCAAATTCGAAAATTTCCTAATCAGGTCCAGGTCAGCCTTCATCATATAATCCTAAAAAGGAAAGTAAAAAAAAAAAAACAACAAAAAAAACAGTTCTCTTCTAAGTGTGATGAGATTCAAAGAGAATTCTTCATTACAAAATTGTTGAAACCTAGACAAACCATTACTTCACAATATTACAGTGAACTTTTGGCTCTTTTGAGAGAAGCATTGGAATAGAAATGGTTTCTTCTGGATAAGAAATTTGAGCACTGATTTCACTGCAAGATTATTCTTGTTTTCATGTTGCAATAAACAAACATAAATTCACAATTGAAAGTTTTAGAAAACACATTATTTCCTCCTGACTTCTCATCTTTTACTCTGAATGATATTTTTCCTTGTCTGCTCAGCAGTTCCATTAAAATAATCAAACCCAAATCAGAATTATCCTTGTCTGATGGACAACACAGTTTAACTGAAAGGTTTTGTAAGACCTACACTCCTTCCATGTCTATTGAACAGGAGTAGAGGTCCATCCCTTGTTCCTTGTTCAGGATATGGTTTACTTGTTCTCCCTTTCTTTCTTTCTTCTACCTGGGTCATAATGATGTCCTAACTTAATGGTGATCAGACTAACCAATGGCTGTGACTTTCCATTGTGAGGATACAGGGTTGGCAGTTTGCCAGCTGCTGCTTCTGACTAGTTGTCAGGAGCCCAAACATTTTGGCAGCACTTAGAGAGGCTGCACTGATCAAAAGTTGCATAATATCAGAGTATTTGTAGTGCCATGTCATGCATGGGTTGGTGTCCCTGCATGTATTTCCAGTGGGCAACCCTGAGGTTACATTATGCTTGACATTCTGGCTAGTTTGTATTACCATTGATAAAAGATAGTGACAAATATGGTAGTCTTCTCTTTCTCTCCTCAAAACAAATCTTATGGAAAACACAACAAAAAGAAATACAACTAAATCAGTAAATAAAAAACCACATACACTCCTCAACCTTTCTTTATCTAATATTCATTCTATCAATTCCAATTTCTGCAATGTAGAATCTTTTCTCTTGGAATGGTCACCAGATATCTTTGCCTTCAGTGAAAAAAATTTAAATTCTTCCATTGATATCAATTAATTCTTGGTTCCAGGCTATCTTCCCCTTTCACATGCATAGCCTTGTTGTTTACATCTGGGATAATCTTTCGATGACCAGGGAATAGTCTCTCAAAGACCCAGACTACTATTTCATTAGTAAACTCTGTTAGCTATCTCTTTTACATTTATCACTCCCCTTCTTCTCAGGACTATTGCAGTATATTAGACATAGTAGCTGACAGTATAGAAAAGGCACTTTCTCTCCAGCCGTCTGCGAACATCTTTGTCTTTGGTAACATTAATGCTCACCACGATACATGGTTTAAACATTCTAAAGGTATTGATGTTGCCAGTATTCAGACATTAAATTTTTTAATTGCCCAATCCCTTACTCAAATCATGGACTTCCCTAGTCATTTCCCTAGCAAAGCCAAGCAACAGGCTCCTCTACTTGATTTATTTCTTATCTTCTCTCCCCATTATTGCCAATACTGTTCTCTTGGTAACTCAGACTATTCTGTGATATCTATTGATATTTCATTCCAATCATCTATTAAACAGGAACTCCCTATTCATAAGAACTCTTTCTGTTGCCAGCATGCTGATTGGGACTTACTCTGTGATTTTCTTCATGACACCCCTTGGACTGACATCTTTAACCTCAAGCTGAAAAATTGCAGCACTGAGGTTTCTTCTTGGACGCTTTCATCTATTCTCGGAAATACCAGGCAAAACCTCAGTCCTCTCCATGGCTCACACCCACGTGCTTGGCCAATATAGCACAGAGGAATCACTATTTTCAGCTATATCAGCATGACAGCTTTTCTCACAACAGGCACCTATTCATTGCTGCTCATAATAAATGTGAGTCCTTGAAGGAGCTAAATCACTGTTTGCCTAGAGAATGAGACACCTCATAGCCTTTAACAAGTATGGTATTCATGATTACCAAGCGGCTCTGTAATAGAGCTTTAATAAGTGCAAGGTCTCTATTCCTCCCCTCTTCAATCAATTTATCATATGCTTTGTCTGTAAATTTTCCTCAAACTCTACTCTTGACACATCTGGAGTATCCCTGCCTAACTTTCCCTTTAGAACTGAGTGATATGCATATAACCCCTTCTGTGGTTTCTGCTGTCATCTGTAACTTAGATTCCCTCAAAACATGTGGACCTGATGTTATTCCTGTAATATTCATTAAGAAATGTGCTCCTGAACTGGCTCCTGTTCTCTCTAAACTGTATAATAAATGCCTCCTTGCCTCCTGCTTTCCTGCCTGTGGGAAGTCATCATCTGTTCCAGTTTTTAAGAACTCTCAAAGGTCGCTGTCTGGCCCTTTTAACTATCAGCTTATCAGCATTCTACTTCTTTTTAGGAATACCTAGAGACCCTAATCAATCATCATCTCTTATAGTAGGGCCTTTTTTTCAGACAAGCAATGCAGCTTGCATTTGTCCAGGTAAACTTCTGATGTACTGATGATAATTGTGGAATGAGTCTATGATGCTCTAGATAAAAACGGTAAAGCCCGGGCTGCAGCATTGGACATCTTGAAAACCTTTGACAGGGTTGGCATTCAGGTATTCTCTACAAACAGAATACAGTGTTTCTGGACATTTTTTTAACTGATACATTCTTTCCTATCAAATTTTGAATGATCACACATCTAGATCCTTTCATACCAATGTGGGTGTCCACAAGGTCTCCATCCTTAGCCCTATGATGTTTTCATTTTCATTAATTACCTTCTAGATGACACCAACTCTTAACTTGGCATCTGCACTGATGACACAACAATTTACTCCTGCCTCAATAGTAAGGCTTATCAGTCTGACAAGGTCAAAATGGCAGCCAATGTTCAAAATGACTTCAAGTCTGTTGTTAACAGGGGAAAAACACCTCTAAAACTAAACTTTTCTCCATTAATCATCTGAGAGACCTTTTGCTGTCTTCCATCAGCATGGCTAATGCTAACCTCCAGAAATGTGAATGGTTATGCCTTCTTGGGCTCACTTTCTCAGCTGATATGAAGTGAAAAGACTATATTGAATCCATTGCTAGGTCAGCTGCTGAGAAAATCATGTGAGACAACTTTTCTTTCCAGAATCTATCTTACATATCTATAAGTCTACCATTCATCCATGCTTAAAATATTGCCACTACATATGGTCCCGTGTCCTTGCTATTTACCTTGAGCTCCTTGATAAGATCCAAAGAAGAATCTTTTCCACCACTATAAGGTTGCCTGATTGTATCTTTTCTATATATACTTTCATGGTAATTATTCAGATGAGCTCTTCGCTATAGTACCTAGACATTTTTTAAAAAAAAGTAAGCGCAGTTCTAGACTGGCGTCAAGATCTCATCAATTTATAGTTGACTTGGCTAAATGTAGCTGTAAGTTCTATGCTAACAGTTTCTTTTCTCACACTTCTCGCTTGTGGAACTCCTTTCCAGTTTCATGCTTTCCAGCCAACTTTAATCTGCAAAAATTGAAATCCAATGTCAATCACTATCTGCTGTCCCTTTATTTATTCTTTTCTTTTCCCAGTCACTATTAATGTATCTGTTCCTAATTCTTTTATACCCTGTAACCCCTTGTGTTTTAGTGGCTTTACTGTCTTGCATGAGTTGATACTGATTAAAAAGAAGAAATAAAAACATGAATTCTGTTTCCAGAATAATTGTTTATTCAGTGATTCGCATGTGCAATTTGGTTGATTAGGTAAGTATGTACGTAGGTAGTTATTGTCATGGGTCCTTACCTATAACTACAGAATGAACTCTTCCTAACATTATGTATACTACGCCTCTCAAGAGGGATGGTTGTATTGAGTCGAGCCGATAGTAGTTCACTCCAAACCAGACTGACAGTCATACTAACAGCTTACACATCATGTATTATTATTTTGTGTAATATACCTTCGTTATTTCAATCTCTTGTGTTTGTGTTGTTCTTCCTTGATCCTAACCTGGACCATAACAGTTAGATAGGTAGGTATGTGACACTTGGGACAACATGTGTCACTCCTAGCATCTCAGATCAACATATCAGCTTTACCTTTCAACCAGGAAGTTCTGACTCTCCTACCACTCCTCTACTCCTCTCAACATTATGACACGCATCTGACAACTAACAAGCATCATCGGAATTATATTGTCCAGACCTGCTAGTTGTTTGCCAAACATGACTATTAATATAAGCCTCTGACTGCAAATATTCAAAATCAAGTTTTTTATTACTTGAACCCAAAAGTTTTCCTTTTGGTTAAGTGGGTGATCGCTTCTGAAGACCCCCGAATTAGGTATAGGTCTTTATGCCTATCTTTTTTATTCTCATATGAACAAGATCCATGTCTACCTTTTGGACTCTTATTGATTCCAGTGAAAATTGAACATACATCTACCTATTTAACTCTAGAGTAAACCGGACTTATCTTTACTTTTTTGATTTTAATGTAAACTGGACCTATATCTACTTTTATGGCCTTTGTACAACCAAGCCTATATCTACTTTTCTGTCTAGTACAACTGAACCTCTGTCTATCTTTTTGAATCTAATGTAAACAGGACCTTTGTTTACCTTTTTGATTCTAGCTTATAATGAATATATGTCTAGCTTTTTGACACTTGTGTAACCGAATATATGTCTACCTTTTTGGATCAAGTGTAAACTAGACTTGTTTCTACCTATCTATTAATTCATTGTTATTTTTGTTGTATAAGGATATTCTTCAACATTAATAAACCCAACAAGAACTGATATACTGCTAAATTAACCAACCTGTACTAACCTAACACAGTAATAAATTTAATCTCTTGACCTTTCTTTACAGCGTGAAATTGGAAAGAAGTGGAATAGAGCATGTGACACTGATAGCAAATGTTGTTGAACAGCGTCTTGCACTGTTGCATCCTGAAACAGCTGAGCCGATACAGAAAGTGATGTTTGGAAGCTGCTACTATGGCTGTGATCTTATACAAGTTGGAATGCTTCATAATCAAGGCCCAACTTCAGTCAAGTTTGTAGCGGTCATGGAAGAAGACACAGTAGGCCAAGAAATAGTGAGTACAATTTTCTTTAGTAAGCTTCGTTAAAAAAACAAAAGTATGTTTACATCTAAAATTGTTGTTGGTTATTCTTTGCACTTTCCAAACAAAAAAGATGTGTGGCTGGTGTAATGAATGACAGCTCAGAATGAGAAATTAAAGAGCCAAGTTCAAATTCCAGTTATGTTCACTTGATATACACAAAAGGAATAAGATCAAAAATCTCTACAAATACAGAAAACGAACAAAGAAACAGTAAAAGAACATAAGGAAAATGTATTCCTTTAAAAATTGATTCCTTTAATTTACCTGAAGAAGGTCACAAGACTCAAAACGTGTGTAGCAAATATATGAAGTATAAAATATAATATATACACTAAAAAAAATCCACATTATAACTAAAAACGTTTCCAGTTTCTCTCTTTTTTAAATATATATATATATATATATAATATATATATATCCCTACCATTGATTAGTAAATAGCAAGTTAATGAATCTAAACATTCTTACCATAGAATTCTTGATCATCACATTGTGCTCCATACTTGCAGACTAAACTAAGTTTAGTTACATTTATTCATGTCGAGAAATACTTGATGAGCATAATCATTTGGTATTTAATTTTCCTAAGGTTAATCTTTAACTACTTATGAAAACTGGATTTCAGCATGAATTTAGGCAGAAATGAATTGCTGGTTGGCTTAATATATTTTATTTACCAACTGGCTGTGCCAATTGCAAATAGTTCAAGTAAACCTTTGGTTGAACAAATTAAACTAAATATGGATGTATGTGCACATCATCACTCTTTCTAGCCTTGGGCTATTAGATTACACCATTGAAAGTATATACTGGCTGTTTTGTATATATATATTTAAGATGACGTGCATTATGAAAGTAGATTAGCAAAACTATTAGCTTTACAAGTGATAGTGAAATGTGGGTACAATTGAGAGATTGGCGGTTTGCCCTTCACTGGCTGAAGATCAGAGAATTTCATGAGAAAGGAAAAATACCTTTAGGATTGTAAATATACTTATGGGGTGGTTGGATAGCAAATTGGAAACAAATGCAGGAAAGGCCTACTTCAGATATTTGACAATCCATGTAACCTTTAAGGAATTTTCAAACTGAATTCTATAATTAATCAACAGGGGTATATTGAACTCTTTCAACTGTTCATATCTTGTGTTCTTTTTTTATTATTGCTCAGTTATTGCTCACCCATGTTTTCACTGATTCTAAGTTTGTACTAATTGACTCAAGAATTGAACTTACAGTTAATATGATAACAAATTCCCAAACCTTGGTTATTCTCCATGCAACAATTTATCTTATAGGTTTATTAATGGCTTCAGTTCAAAATTCCCTGATGGTTTCTTGGATTGAGAAAAACTTCAAGAAACCAAAAAGGTGTAAAAGCTGAAGTATTATGTTCTCATTATTGTTGAAAACAACAAAGATGAGGATATTAGCCCAACTGTAAAGGATGTAAACAAAAATTGTTTTGTGTCATATATGTGATTAATTTAATTGTTTGGAAGTAAAAAATAAACATGACATCCTGAATATAGTGAGTGCATAATTTTTTTTGTTTTTTGTATATATATATATATATATATATATATATATATATATATATATATATATGAGTAAAATTTCAGATAGAGTATATCTTTAAAAGTCCAATATGAATAAAGACAAAAGGAGAAATAATCTAGACTGAAGTGTTTCATTCTCTGAGAGATTTTATCAAGGAAGATGCAACAAGTACTTGCAACAAGTTTTTATATACAAGAGCAAAAATGTTATTGGTTTGCCTAAATTTTTAAATTTAAATTTATGTTCATAAATATTCATCAGGTTAGCTGAAAAGTCAGGCAAGCTATGCAGAATACCAAATGATACAATTGAATGTCCAATAAACAAAAGTGATGTTCTTGATTTTTTTTAATACAAATTAGTATTTAAATTATTTTAGTTTGTAATTAGTTTGTATTATATATTTTAAATAACATGAGGCTATAAACTTAATTGTTTTCTTTTAATTCTTTAGCCTTTTTATTGTTATGTCTGTTGACTTGGGAAAGTAGTAATTCATTCAACAATGGAGATATTGGGAACAAATACGGGGTATAGATTTATCTCTATCTATAAAAGACAGGATGTGTGTGTGTGTGTGTGTGTGTGTGTGTGTGTATAACGAATGCACAGCCACAATTTTCAATGGATTTGCACCAAAATTTACATGCACATGCTCCAAGTTAGCAGGAAGGCCAAGACCAACTTTGCATTTCCCAACTCCCATCGATAGTTGAAATAATCAATTTTTTCATGCTTCTACGGCACTTTTCATGTAGTTTGCGGCCATTTTCTACTGGCCAGAGTGAGAGCCTATAGCTGGCTGCCATGAATAGGCAGGAAGATTCTATTGGCCAGCATGAAAGCCAACAGCTGACTGACATGAATGTTAACTAGCATGCTTGCATGCAAAAAAATTGATAGCTGCATTCGTCACAAGTGGGAAAAATTTAAATCTGCATGGCACTTTACTCCAGTTGGCTCATTTGCTTGCTTAAACTCAATGTTGATTCTGATTCAGCAGAACTGGGTTGGGTGTGAAAAAGTATTTGTTGTTGACATTTTTTTTTCATTCAGTTTTTCCAGTTACGAGTCCTTTTTAAAGCTGCTAGTTTTGTGTTCATTTTGTTTAGTTCTTTTTTCGTAACAGATTTAAGGTTTAGTAAGAGCTTAGAAAAAATTTGCAGTGTGAGATAGGCAAGAAGTAAGGCATGTAGCAACATCAGCATGGCAAAGGGAACTCCTTTAAAGGCAAGAAAGGGCAAAAATATTTTAAGTCAAGTGATAGCGATTGCTGTATGTCATATGATTTTTGAATCAAGCATGGGCAATGCTGGGCCATGCTGCTAGTATTTTGATAAAATTCAATCATGGCACTCTTGAGAATTTTTCTTCTAAGTATGTTGCTTTCTCATTTAATAAGTATGGCATTCTTTAGTTGTGGTACAATTTATTTCTCTGAATAACTAATGCATCTGATAAATTTTTGTGTATAAGATCCCTTTTGTGCTCATGGATACATTATTTTTTAAATTAATGCAAGTTTCCCCCAATGTATTCTGAGAAGCAGTTCCAGCAATTTGTTACATACCTACTTTAGAATTATTAGTATAATGGGTATTTGTGGTTCTGACCATATCCATAATACATTTCAATGTGGTTGTAATTATTTTGATGTCTTTTAGATTGGATAAATTGTTTTGGATAGTGGATGCTATGAAGATAGTAGGTACTATTATCTGTCTGTTTTTATCTATTTTATTGCCATTGTTATTGTTGTTAATAATGCTATTATCTTTTTTTTTTGCAGTTGCATATTTTGTATGCTTTTCTCTTGGCATTGTGGATGAAATAATGAGGATATTGGAGATTTTTCAAATGTTTTCTATGTATATATATTTCTTCTTTGGTTAACTATTGGGCTTGCAGATTCTTAGTGCTCTGGAATAGAATCTTATAATTTTTCCTATAATTATTGCAACATTATTAACAACAATAACAATGACAATAAACTATATAAAAACAAATGCATAATAGTACTTACTAAATCCATAAAATCAACTATCCAAAACAATTTAACCAATCTAAACAATATATATGTGTGTGTATATGTGTACACACACACACACACATTTATATATATATATATATATATATATATAGTCAAAGATAAAATTATTCGTTCATCCATCAATTTTAAATATTTGTATCCATTTATCAGCATCTAATGCTCATATGATGCCAGTTTTTTTTATATGTTAATAGGCACAAAAAAGGAATATAAAACTCAGTTTTCAGAACATTAGGTTAAATACAACAAATTTAACAGGCGAATTGTGCAAAATAGGAAAAGACAAAATTACAGTAGAAAATATTGTTTTAAACTGATAATTATGTAAATTACTTATACTTACATGAATCAATCAATTTAAAACAATATTTTCTACTGTATGAATAATTTGTCATTTACTATTTTGCATAATTTACATGTCAAATTTGTTTTATTTAACCTAATGTTCTGAAATTTGAGTTTTATATTCCTTCTTTTTGTGCTTATTAAAATATAAAATAACACACATCATACAGGCATTAGATTCTGAGAAATGGATAAAAATATTCAAAATTGATGGCTGTACAAATAATTTCGTTGTTTATTCTATATATATGTGCATGTGTGTGACAATACCATGTTGTTAAAATGCATATGGGATCTAAAGATGAAAGAGAAAACATCAGTAATAGAATGAGATATAGTAAAAAATGATAAAGAAAACCAGAGGAAGAAATTGCAATATATGCATGGAGAAGCTGGAAATTATAGAATTCAAGAACATGAATGGATTAATAAACAAAAGGAATTAAATTATTTTGAAATGTTGGCACA